ATTTACGAGAAAACTGCATTTTTTATTACATTTGATTTTTTTTATATACAAAATCTGAGACAGTCCAGTAAATATTTATACCCAAACGAAGGGCTGAGACTACAGAATATCCCCAATGCAGAAAAAAAAACACACACACATGCACAAACACACACATGGCACACACACTCCCATAGAACACATTATAATATGTTTCATGTTTCTGCTGTCATTTTCCCATTTATTTTTGACTTAACACAGTTAAATTCGAGTGATGTGGTGGAGACCAATGAGTTTATATCATATTTATATTTTTAAAAATATATTATACTATATATGTATTTCATATTTATGACATTTTATTAATATACATGTTTAGGTTATAATTCGGTTATAATTTTTATTTTATTTTTTACAAAATATGGATTTTATAATGTTTCAATTTATATTTGAATCCATAAACAACTCAAAATTATCTAATTTCTCATGTTTTACTTGTTTTGCTCAGTTAAAAATCTCCATAGGATACTACAGACCCCCTCTATTGGCTGTAAACATAAACTGAAATTTTATGTCATTTTTCCCCACCAGGTGGCATCAGAGACACTCAGTGACTCAATTCCAAGGCCATCTGTTGGTTTTTGATGAAACAGGACTGAAATTGTGTCTTTCTTTGTTTTTTTTGTAATTTGGTGAAAAAATGTATAAAGATATGCTCATTTTCATAAAAATATCCATAATTTAATGTTGTATTTGATCATACCTGACATTATTATTTTAATTTTGGAATAGTGCAATCAATTTAGATAATAAATGTCACTTGCCTCATAAAGCATTTGAGAGGTTTCATAACACTATTATCCTTTATCTTCTGAGGATACATATTATAATAATGGTTTATCATCTGTCTGTGAATAAAAAGTTATTGGGCTGTTAATATACTGAAATGTTGTTTACTTTGGTTATTATTGCCCAGGGCAAAGTATTTTAGTATACTAATTCACTCAGACCTATTTTCCCTTGTGAAAAAGAAATGTTTAATTGTATTTAATGTGCACTTCAAAAAATTGTGTAGTGTACTTAAAGTATATATATTAAAAGTATATATCTTGAAAGTATATATTTAAAAAAAAAAAAAACATTGTGTTTCTTAACAAATTTTTAAAAAGTGCACTTTATAATAATGCCAAATTAAAAGTTTCCTTTAAGTATATTTTAAATCCTGTGTTTCAATAATCTTTTGTCATGCTTTAAAGAAGTACACTTACAAAAGCCAGACTAAATTGCCCTGACGCCTCAGCCCCTAATATTAACCGAATATTAAAGCATACAGACCCTAATATTACAGCATTTTTTAAATCTTTGTGAATTGATTTATGGCAGCAGTATTAAACAATCTATGTAAAAGACACCTAAATGCCACTTCAGAAGCGGTTCTGTGCCACCTTTGCAGTGTACATTTAGCAATATAGCATATTCTTCACAAGGGTTAATCAATATATTTTACTTACGAGGCTGTAAGGTATCCTTCAAGGTATCCGGCCAAAAAGTATGTCATTTCATCTCACTCCTGGAATTGTCCACAACCAGCTTGCACTTCCAGCACTCCCCATCCAGAAACAAATAAATTATCATTGAAATAACCAAATGCATCTCCCTCCTCTTCCACTGTATCCTCTTTCAGCACCACAGACCTCTGAACGGCATCCCAATATACGGTGGCTCTCCGAGCATCTGACAGCGCACAGTGACAACAGAGATCACACATCAGTAAGCGTTAGGGGTTTCATATGTGTGATGTATTTTTATAACATCTGATAGCGCCTCGTTTGGCAACCAATAATTCCCAAATAGGGCAACCGGTACCCGTTTGTTGTAGCTCCGATCCGTATTATTTAACTTATTTTACACGTAATGTTGCGCAAACATGCAAAAAGACATAAAACACGACGTATTAAAAGAGTACAATTAATTTACAGACACTACGCTGAACCTTCACGAAGGTCGCCGTTAGGACGCACAAATTAAACCCCCGTGCAAATCGATGCATGTTTCACGCTAAATCAGACGAGTCAGAAGTTTACTTTCTGGATCTGACTAACATATTCGCTGTCTAATTTATAACCAAATATTTAGTCAAATATAATATCCTTATTCAGTGGCCGGTAATGACTGAAGAGCTAGCGAATTTCCACATGCTTTCAGTCTAAAGCCCGGGATACACTGCACGATTTTTGGCTGTCCCAGACGAAAGATTGCCATCGTGAAGCAATCGTGGCTCTTAATCGCTGGTCCTATGTCGTGCAGTGAGAGAGGTTCAAAGACGGGCGTTTCCCGGTCTTGCGACCAAAGATAGCCTACGATAGTTTTCTGACAGTGTCAGAAATTCAGCATATCAACGCACAGTGTGTTAATTTGCAGTTACGACCACGTTTACTGACCAACCAGTAAAAATGCGACATGAAATCAACCACAATGTGCTAAAACATAAAACTGCTTACCTCAAGCTCTTATTCCTTCCTCTTTCGCAGCTCCCACTTTTTTCAGCACACATAAAAACTACAACTGCCAAAGTGTGGTTCATTATGCTGTTTTTGTTTACCACTAGCGCATGCTAATGACGTTTTATTCTTCGTCGTAGCCTACGAGTCAATAGGTGCTCTATAAGTCATCGTACAGTCTACATCAGCGGTGGCGAACTCCGGTCCTGAAGAGCCGCATCCCTGCACAGTACAGCTCCAACCCTAATTAAAACTCACCTGCCTGTAGCGTTCTAGTAACCCTTCAGACCTTGATTAGCTTGTTCAGGTGTGCTTGATTAGGGTTGAAGCAAAACTCTGCAGGGCTGCGGCTCTCCAGGACCGACATTCGCCACCCCTGGTCTACATGCATGTCGTACCCAAGTTTATTAGATCCATGTCACACAGTGTGACCAGCATTGATCTTATAGGATTGCTAAAATCGTGCAGTGTATCCCGGGCTTTAGACTGAAAGCATGTGGAAATTCGCTAGCTCTTCAGTCATTACCGGCCACTGAATAAGGATATTATATTTGACTAAATATTTGGTTATAAATTAGACAGCGAATATGTTAGTCAGATCCAGAAAGTAAACTTCTGACTCGTCTGATTTAGCGTGAAACATGCATCGATTTGCACGGGGGTTTAATTTGTGCGTCCTAACGGCGACCTTCGTGAAGGTTCAGCGTAGTGTCTGTAAATTAATTGTACTCTTTTAATACGTCGTGTTTTATGTCTTTTTGCATGTTTGCGCAACATTACGTGTAAAATAAGTTAAATAATACGGATCGGAGCTACAACAAACGGGTACCGGTTGCCCTATTTGGGAATTATTGGTTGCCAAACGAGGCGCTATCAGATGTTATAAAAATACATCACACATATGAAACCCCTAACGCTTACTGATGTGTGATCTCTGTTGTCACTGTGCGCTGTCAGATGCTCGGAGAGCCACCGTATATTGGGATGCCGTTCAGAGGTCTGTGGTGCTGAAAGAGGATACAGTGGAAGAGGAGGGAGATGCATTTGGTTATTTCAATGATAATTTATTTGTTTCTGGATGGGGAGTGCTGGAAGTGCAAGCTGGTTGTGGACAATTCCAGGAGTGAGATGAAATGACATACTTTTTGGCCGGATACCTTGAAGGATACATTACAGCCTCGTAAGTAAAATATATTGATTAACCCTTGTGAAGAATATGCTATATTACTGCAAAGGTGGCACAGAACCGCTTCTGAAGTGGCATTTAGGTGTCTTTTACATAGATTGTTTAATACTGCTGCCATCCACAATGTGCTAAAACATAAAACTGCTTACCTCAAGCTCTTATTCCTTCCTCTTTCGCAGCTCCCACTTTTTTCAGCACACATAAAAACTACAACTGCCAAAGTGTGGTTCATTATGCTGTTTTTGTTTACCACTAGCGCATGCTAATGACGTTTTATTCTTCGTCGTAGCCTACGAGTCAATAGGTGCTCTATAAGTCATCGTACAGTCTACATCAGCGGTGGCGAACTCCGGTCCTGAAGAGCCGCATCCCTGCACAGTACAGCTCCAACCCTAATTAAAACTCACCTGCCTGTAGCGTTCTAGTAACCCTTCAGACCTTGATTAGCTTGTTCAGGTGTGCTTGATTAGGGTTGAAGCAAAACTCTGCAGGGCTGCGGCTCTCCAGGACCGACATTCGCCACCCCTGGTCTACATGCATGTCGTACCCAAGTTTATTAGATCCATGTCACACAGTGTGACCAGCATTGATCTTATAGGATTGCTAAAATCGTGCAGTGTATCCCGGGCTGGGTTCCTCAAATCTTATTCTGGAGGGCCAGTGCGCTGCAGAGTTTAGCTCCCACCCTGATCAAACTCACCGACCTGTGATTTTCTAATGATCCTGAAGACATTGATTAGCTTGCTCAGGTGTGTTTGATTAGGGTTAGAGCTAAACTCTGCAGGAAAGTGGATCTTGTGGGCCAGATTTGAGGATCCCTGGTCTAAAGGCTAGGTCGCATAGCATTCAGACCTACAGTTAGCTTTTAATGAGCTGTGGGATCACTAAGAAGCGTTTAAAAGATTTCCACCCCAGATGGGACTCGAACCCACAATCCCTGGCTTAGGAGGCCAGTGCCTTGTCCATTAGGCCACTGGGGCTCGGGTCGCGTGAGGTCCAACTCGTGGGTTAGAAAGAGGCAATACAAATAAATGTATGTTACATATTCAATTATTTTAAATATAAGTTATATAGCTGGTTGATATATTAATACATCCCATCTAAAAATTATCTGGTGTATATAATTGATAGATAATTATAACTTGCTATTCAGATTTACGTTTTAACTGGTATATGTGTTTCAATTCACTATTTCAACAGTTGTAAAAAAAATCATATTTTTATCACATAAATAATGGTATATTCAGTACGACTAGTAATGTCATAACAGTCGAAAAAGTCATAACTAATGGTGCTTTTATTATGAAAGAATGCGACACCGGCACTTTCAAAGAACTGCCGCCTCCATGTGCCTCCAGTTGTGATGCATTTTCTCTTGTCAGGATAGTTGTCTGCTGTCTTCTGTTAATATCTGAGGTGTAAGGTAATATTCGTAGGTTTAAAATTCAATGAGATTTTTAGATTTCACGTAATGTTGATGCGCTTGAAGGATTAGTTTAAAGTACTGGATGAGAGTAAAGTTTGGTAGCTAATTTTCTGAGCTAGCCTCAATGATTCAGTGATATTAGCATGCTAACTGTGTGAGACAACGTAAACTCAGCAGCGTCTATTTTGGGTCTATCGAGCTGCAAGGTGCAACAGCCCGTTTTAAATTGAACTCTTTTCAACGTCAATCTTTTATTTCCATGTATAGTGACAGACTAGCATGTTGAGTTGATGTTACAGTCCTGTTAATATTGAATTAAAGTGAGGATGTAACACTTATCTATAATAACGTGGGATGTAATTATCTGTATGAGTAAATTCGTATACTTGTATAAGGTTTAATGTGCTAAATTTTTGAAACCTGTTTATATATTAACTTCATTAATACAGAAAGCAAAGGGAAAAGCAATGGCCTCTGGAGATATTGCTCAGATTACAGAGGCGCTGGCCAAGACCCATGTTGGAGAAGTGGAATTAAGTTATAAGGGACAAGGACTGAAGTTGGACAATGCTGAGTCAGGTGAGTAAAACTATCTGTTAGCAGATATTTACATTTTCCATGTATTAGTGCATCAACCACAACTCTCTTAGTTTTCCCTTCTTTTCTGTGATGTTGCAGTGAAAGAGATGGTGCAGGATATCGAACAGTGTCAGGGGCTGCAGTCTCTCAGATTGGAGGGAAACACATTGGGGGTTGAAGCAGCACAGGCAATTGCAAAGTCTCTTGTAGCAAAAAGGGAATTGGAGGTACTTTTAAATTCCCACTGGAAAATGTTCACTCTTTCACTTTGCTAGTTTTAATCTTTGCATTTTTTTATTAAGCAATGCCATTGGAGTGACATGTTCACGGGTCGCCTTCGCTCTGAAATTCCACCTGCTCTGGTAAGACAATATCCATCTTAAAAAGCTCAGTTAAATGTATTTGCTGTGAGTAAAAAGCTTATTTTATTTCCAACATTTTATTCAAATGTTCTAGATATCATTGGGCAATGCTTTGATGGCATCAGGGGCCAGAATGACTCATCTGGACTTGAGCGACAATGCCTTCGGCCCTGATGGTGTAAAGGGAATTGAAAGCCTCCTGAAGAGCTCTGCATGCTACACCTTACGTGAGCTCAGGCTTAATAATTGTGGCATGGGCATTGGAGGGGGTATGGTAAGTTTAGGCTAAGATTAACTTGTTGTAACCAGTTTAAGACAAACCCATCATCGTTTGAGTGGTTATGATGTCAGTCAGATGTGTGAAAGCTTTGAAACTGTTTTAAACATGCAAAATATTTTTAGGGCTCATGGAACAGATGGAGTATACGGTTTTATTTATTTTTTATTTTTTTAAGGTCCTTGCTTCTGCTTTGACTGAATGCCATAAGCAGTCTAGTGCAGCTGGCTCCCCCCTGAGGTTAAAAGTCTTCATAGCCGGACGTAATCGGTTGGAGAATGATGGTGCCACTGCACTTGCCAAAGCATTTAAGGTACTAAGGCATAATGTTTTATAGAAATATATTTACATTATTGTTCAAAAGTTTGGGGTCAGCAACTTTTTTTTTTTTAATTAATACTTTTATTTACCATCGATGCATTATATTGATCAAAAGTGACTGTAAAGAGTTTCAAATAAATGCTGTTCTTTTGAACTTTCAAAGTGACTTCTTTCAAAAAATCTAAAAAAAATATTACAAACTCCATTGTCATCAAATTAAAATATTCTATGATTTGCTTTTTTATTATTTTTTATAAACAGTTATTAGGCAGTCTTGAGGAGGTCCATATGCCACAGAATGGAATTAACCATCCTGGTATCACTGCTTTAGCCACTGCCATAAAGCACAACCCAAACCTTCAGGTCCTCAACCTCAACGACAACACTTTTACTAAGAGAGGATCAATAGCCATGGCAGAGGTATTTTTAGCAGCTCGGTATCATGTCACAAAATAGTTTATATGGTTAGAAGAGATGTTTAATAATGGCTGTGTGTGTGATTTCGTCCATGTTTAGGCTGTTAGGCACCTCCAGTGTCTTAAGGTCATCAATTTTGGGGACTGTTTGGTACGCTCAGAAGGTGCTATTGCTATAGCAGGGGCCCTTAGAGAGGGACTGCCATTCCTCAGGGTTAGCTTATGCATGATACCAACATTGACTCTAGCCGACACACACAAACACTTCCATTCAGTTTTTGTAGATACTGTGAGCATTCTAAAATATTTGTTTTGTTAAGGAGCTGAATTTGTCATTTGGAGAGATTTGCGAGGCTGCAGCTGTGGTAGTTGCAAAGGCTGTTCAGGGCAAAGCTGATCTGGAGAAACTGGATCTCAACGGTAAAATAATAAAATTTTGTTGTCACTGCATTTTATTACTACACATGTAGGCCTCGTCTGAAGTCTTCTTAAAGGGTCATATATATATATACACACGCACACACTGCCATTCAAAAGTTTGTGATCAGTAAGATTTTTAATGTTCATCAAAGAATCCTGATAAAAGTATCACAGGTTCCAAAACGATATTAAGCATACAGATTCCAACATTGATAATAAATCGGCATATTAGAATTATTTCTGAAGGATCATGTGACTGGAGTAATGATGATGAAATGTCAGCTTTGCATCACAGATATAAAGTATATTAAAATAGAAAACCATTATTTTAAATTGTGATAATGTTTCACAATATGAGTTTTTTTTCAGATTTTTTATCAAATAAATGCAGACTTTGAGCATAACAGACTTATTTAAAAAAAAAATAAAAATCTTACTGATCCCAAACTTTTGAACGGTGGTAGTGTATGTGTATGATTTACACAGTAACAGTAAATTTCCACCCTCTTTCTAGCCCCTCTCTAATCCACTATTGGTGCCCTGTCTTTAACAAAAGCCTGCTTTATAAACTATACTGTACTGAAATATTCTGCAAAAATGATCAAGATGCGTTAGACTAGTAATAAATATTTTTTTTTTTTACCCCCCAACCTTTTTGACTTAAATTCCCCCCGTTGTCCGTCACAATTAAAGCCTCCCCACATAAGATGCTTGTTTTCAAACTTTTTAACAGAAATTGGTAGCTTTGATATATTAAATTGATCATGATTCATTTTGTGATTAATATTCAGCACACATTATCTACACACTTCATTAATAAAAAAAGGCTAGCATAACTAACATTAGCTCACTAATTAATTTGCATGAGTATGTTACTCATGTAGAGAGTTGGACTCATAACCCAAAGGTTGCGAGTTCGAGTCTCAAGTCCGGCAGGAATTGTAGGTGGGGGTAGTGAATGTACAGCGCTCTCTTCCACCTTCAATACCACGAGGCCTATGTCTGTGCTCCGGGTGTGTGTTCACGGTGTGTGTGCACTTAGGATGGGTTAAATGCAGAGCACTAATTCCTAGTATGGGTAACCATACTTGGCCACATGTCACGTCACTTTTCACTTTGTCACTTTACTTTCTGAACAAGTGCGGCCCGAGTTAGACTTGCTTTCACATTTACGCAAATTGCACCACAGTTCCATTGCCATCAAACTTAGACCACCTCCTACAAGTAGTCTTGGGCTCTGTACTCCTGGTTCTGCGTGGCAGTTTTTAATTTTCATGCAAACTGTTCAAATTAAACTGCCAGTATGAAAGCTCCATTAAATAACAACTTGATCTTTCATAGTTTAAATAGTTTCTCTGTTCTGTTGAATTCAGTTTGTGTCAAAGTTCTGTTATTCTGTGGGAATTTGATCTTTTGTGGTTGCTTGTTTAGGAAATTGCTTTGGAGAGGATGGCTGTGAAGCTCTCAGGGACGTGATGGAGAGCATGAACATGAAAGATCTGCTGAGCTCGCTCAGGTTTTTATCTGGGTTTTTGTAAAATAAAAAGGCAAATGCATGTTTTTTTGTTGAAATTCTTTTACACTTAGACTAATAAAAGTTGTGCTTAATGCAGTGATGATGAAGGAGAACCTGAAGAAGATGATGATGAGGAGGAGGAGGAAGATGAGGAAGAGAGGGAAGAGGAAGAGGATGTAGAGGAAAATGGTGTCAATGGAACAAAAGATGTAACTGAAGAAAAGGTGATGCTAGCAAACATCTGCATGCCTGAATGGACTCCTAAACCTGATGTGTGCCATTAGCTGCTTTTCTGTTTTACTTCAGAAGACCACTCATTTTTATTCATCAGAAGAACAATTTTGAGTTTACCTGCATTGTCTTCTCATCACAGGAGGAGCCTCACTGCAGCTCTGAGCTCACGTCCTTCCTCATCTCCCCGTCAGCTGAGAAACTGATCTCCCTTGGAGCCAAAAGGATCCAGCTCATTGAGCAGCAGGTACAGTGTTGATTTATAAGGACCAGTTGTACATTAGGATAGTTTAATTTGTTCTAAAACCCCCTGAAATAATTTCCTCTTTTTTTTTAGGTTGACGTCTCCGATGCTAGTAAGGTGTCAGAAGTTTTTCTCAAGATTTCATCAGTATACAAAGATGAACCAGAAGTAAAGCAAGCTATTTTTGAGAGCACTGGTATGAGCAACATTCTTACTAGCATTCAAATAAACATTTAAAGAGACAGTTAACTCCAAAATGAAAATTGTCTTCATTTACTCGCCCTCATGTTGTTCCAAACCTGTATGACTTACGTTCTTCTGTGGAACACAAAAGAGGGTATTTTGAAGAATGTTGGTAACCAAACAGTAAAAAAAAAAACAGACGTTTCTCAAAATATCTTCCACCATGGTCCACAGATCAAAGAAAGTCATGCAGGTTTGCTTTTAACTACTGGATATGTCATTGTTATTAAAATTAGCTGTTCATCTTCTTGCCCAGATGCTCTATTGAGGAAAGCCTTTTCCAACTCCCACTCTCAATCTTATAGTTTTATCTCCTCACTGATGGTGAACCTGGGACTTTTAAAGGTACTATACTTGACGTGATGTTCAGTCTTGCACCCCCCCCCCCC